GCCACAGGCCCTGCACAATTTGGCAACTGGATCCTTCAGTGAGTCTCGGTGTGCGCCCCGCCTGCCAAGCCTGCCGCTTCGGCCATAGGCCCCATGCAACTCGGCGCCTGAACCCTTTGGTGAGAGCAAAAATGCGGAGACAAAGAAACAACCGCCAAAGGAAAGGAAAGGGGGGGGGGGCGGGATTGCCAAAAAAGTAACTAAATGAAACAGAGGCTGCAATATGTCAGAAAAAAATTCAGAGTAAGGATCATACAGTTCCTAAGTTGGCAAGATGAGAAAATCAACAACTTATGTAAGAATGGAGAGGAAATCAAGAATGATATAGCTACAATAAAAAACACAATGGAAGGTTTCAACAGTATGTTAGAAGAAGAGGAGGACTGAATTAGTAAGTTAGAATACAGAGCAGAAAACACCAATCTGAACAGCAATTGGAGAAAAAATTAGAAAGCAGAAGGAGAGCCTAACAGAGCTTTGGGACAATATGAAATGAAGAACATATGAATAATAGGGGTGCGAGAAGGACAAGAAGAGGAGCAAGGATTAGAAAACCTATTTGAAGAAATACTGACAGAAAACTTCCCTGATTTGGGGAAGAAAAAAAGTCACATAAGCACAGAGAGTCCCAAACAAGATGAACCCAAAAAGACCCACACCAAGACATGTCATAATTACAATGGCAAACATTAATGACAAAGAGAGAATCTTAAAAGCTGTAAGAGAGAGACAGAGTGTTACCTACAAGGGATCTCCTATTAGACTATCAACTGATTTCTCAACAGAAACACATCAGGCAATAAGAGAATGGAATGAAGTATACAAAGTGATGCAAAGCAAGGGACTGAATCCAAGAATACTCTATCCAGCAAGGTTATCATTCAAAATTGAAAGGGAAATCAGGAGCTTTGCAGACAAAAAAAAAAAAGGCTAAGGAAGTTTATCACTAAAAAGCCAGCAATGCAAGAAATGCTAAAGGAACTATTATGAAAAGAAGAAATAGCCCTAACTGGTTTGGCTCAGTGGATAGAGCATCCACCTGTGGACTGAAAGGTCCCTGGTTCGATTCCGGTCAAGGGCATGTACCTTGATTACGGGCACATCCCCAGTGGGTGGTGTGCAGGAGGCAGCTGATCAATGTTTCTTTCTCATCGATATTTCTAACTCTCTATCCCTCTCCCTTCCTCCCTGTAAAAAATCAATAAAATATATTTTAAAAGGGGGGGGGAGCTTCCTTCATGTTTAAAAAAAGAAGAAGAAGAAATAGAAAGGGAAGAAGGAACACAGGCATAAAGAATAAAAATGGCTACAAACAAGTACCTATCAATAATAACCTTAAAAATAAATGGATTAATTGCTCCAATCAAAAGACATCAGTGGCCCTAACTGGTTTGGCTCAGTAGATAAAGCATTCACCTGCAGACTGAAGATTTGTCATATAAGATTTTTATTGTGTCTATTCCCACTTTGCTGAGAGTTTTTATCCAGAAAGGATATGAAGTATGGTAGCAATCATCTCAGGTAGAAACTGTAGTTTAACTCTAACCCTGCTGTTTGGTTTCTGTACTTATTTGCTTGCTAAAATAATAGAAAAGTTATTTAGATTTTCTGAATTATATAAATCATCCCAATTGATTGAATACCCTATTGATTGTAATGTGAATATCCCATCGGTTATGGTCATATTGGTCTTAGAAAGCACATTTTCCTTTACCTGGGAAGGACAGCACAATTATCCCAAGGTCAGAGGGCTCCAGATAACGTGTCCCTGTTGACTCAGTGGTCCCAAGACCACTAGATAATGTGTTTCTGTCAATTCAGTGATTCGGAGACCCGAAACTATAATTTAGATAACATGCTTAAGTAAAACTGCTTCTGCTTCTGTAAACTGCTTTTTTGCAAACCAGGTTCCTCATTCCAAACCTTGGGATGTAACCAATGCCTTTGTGATCTTTGCCTATATAAATCTGGTGTTGGGGCTGGGGCGGACATTATGAGATCTGGGAGAGCGAAATGCCCCCTCATAGTCCCGGATTCGCAATAAATGTGGCTCTTTAATTTGACTTCTTGAGGCGTCCTTGTGTGATTCGCGGGGTACATTACAACAGTATTGGGCCCTAGCTAGTTTGGCCTAGAGACCCTACCTGTGCACGAATTTCATGCACAGGGCCTCTAGTGTATAAAATAAGGTGCAAAACTGCCATTTTCCAGAGCATTATCTCAATCCTTTGAGATTTTGCTTCCTGACAATTGTCACCAGTTTGGCTCAAATAAGCTCACAAAAATTCTTCACAGGTTTGACTGTTCCTTGTGTTGACACAGCCTCCCCCCCCCCCCCCCCCGCCCCCCACCCCCCTACAGCTTGTCAGGGTTTGTCTGTGGCCCCTTTTCGTCCACACCCTTTTGGTCTTTCCTAAAGAAGCCTATTTGTTTTCCCAAAGAGGCCATCTCTCCCCCTTCCTTTTCCCTAAGTTTTACATAAAAACTTTTAACTTTACCTGTTTAACAAGCCAGCTACTTCCTTTGTGGAAGCCCAAATACATACAAACTGGTGTGTGGGTGTTTTTCCTGTTGATCAGGCATTTTCAGTTAAATTAGCAAGCCCCAGCCAGTGAACCAAGAGGTTAGGGGGAAAGTTTCTTCTTTGCAGAAGCACGTAGAGGTGAATCTAGTGATTTGTGGGATTTGTTGTTTGTTTTTTAATCTTCAGCCAATACTAAAGAACAGGACAAATGAGGCAAACACAGTGAAATACTGACCTGGACAATTTATATATGGGGTCCATTGTTCTCTTGTGTTTTCTTTAATTTTTGTTTTAAAGTTTTTCTAAATGCAATTTCCTAAATTGAAAGAAACCCTCAGCCCATGGCGTGAGTCAGGGCCTAGAAGGCATGAGCGGACAGTGCTCCCTCTTTGAGCACTGTCTGCCCTCCCCTCCCCAGCACTGCCAGGCGCCCGCAGGACTGCGCAGTCCCACTCCGACCTGCTCCTGTTCCGCTGAGGCGCCACCCAAGAAACACACCGGCTGCGCACCGGAAAGCTAGCCATCGCCTGCAGCCACGGCCTGGCCGTCCACACCGCGCCCCTGGAGACGAGGCCCGTCGGTTGCTCCGCCCTTTGGCGGTGGCCCGAACCTTAGCTTCCTCATATGTCCGCTCCCAGGGGTAGGACTCCGGTGTGCGCAGCCAATGGCCGGGGCAGGCCTAGGTCAGGGTTGGGAGTCCCCAAAATCACCTCCACCGCTGGCCAGACCCTCAGGGACCCACCGTGTCCGGTGCTCCAGTGGAACCCCCGCCACTCCAACCCGGTCCGGGCGCCGCCCCTCTCCTTCCTCCCCGGTGCCTCCTGGAGCCCAGACCTCATCACTTCTCCCAGCGCCCCTATCACTTCCCCAACCCGGCGCCGGTTTCCGCTGCCTCTATCACCTTCATCTTCCTCCCAACGCCAGGCACCCCCCCCCGCCCCCGCCCCCCGCCCCGGCTGCCCTCTCCCCTTCTTCCCAAAGCTTTTCCTATCCCCACACCACGTGTCCTCCCTTTGCCCCCCAACTCGCCTACCCCCATCAGGGACAAGAGTACGGTCCCTATCCTCACCCCTGGCCCATCCCCGTTGGTCTATCCAAATCCCTCCCCCCACCCAGGACCCTGCCCTCCGCCTTTCACCCCGCCCGTCTGCTCCCGCCCCTGCCCCTGGCTGCTGACACCCACCCCAATCCTCACCACTCACACACCCGCTAAGGCCTCCCAGCCTCTGCTGACGCCACAAAGCCCGCGCCCCTGAGGCCACCGCACCCTCCTCGCCCTGGTCTCTGTGGCGCAAACGCAGGTTTCCCAGCGCCTCCGTTTGCGCTCGTGGTCCGGGGCGCCTAGTCGGGCAGCGTGCACCCCTCTCCCCGGTGAGTACCACTCTATCCAGGGCCGGTCGGATGGTGGTTATCAGTTGGAACCAGAAGGGTCACCTGGTTTAGCCCTAATTACAGGAGCATCCCCAGGACCGAGGGCCACGGGCCCACCTCACTGACCCAGAGTCCTTGGCCCCTTCCCCTGAACTTGACCCAGAACGGTGCCCCCCAGACCATCCTGAGCCCATCCGGCTTCAGGTGGGTAGGCAGCAGGAGGCCATCCCAAGGGCTCTGCTTAGAGAGAGGCAGCTTCCACAGGTGAACCCAGTGTCTGAAATATCAGAGACATCTCTCTGGTGACCGCAGGGAAGGGAACCCAGATAGTGCTGTGGTTCAGAAATGACTTTCAGATCTACGCTGCCTCGCACCAGTGACCACCCCATGAGGTGCACGGGGAGTCCTTGGATCTGACCTGCATAAGGGCATGGGTGTTCGAACACCAGTGTGTGTGCATGTGCTCTGTCTGTGTGGCATGGATCGTGTCTTCTGTACTGCATCTTGGCAAAGAACACCAGAGGTGGGTGGTAGGTAGAGCAGTAAGAACATTTTATTCAGGACTGCCGTAGGGGAAGCACAGAATCCCACAGAAAGCTCAACTCTCAGTGGGGATTTATGGTCAAGGTGGGTGAGTGATAGGAAATTACTAACAGGAAGCCACTGGGTAGGGCAGCGGTTCTCAACCTGTGGGTTGCGACCCTTTTGGCGGTCGAACGACCCTTTCACAGGGGTGGCCTAAGACCATCCTGCATATCAGATATTTACATGACGATTCATAACAGTAGCAACATTACAGTTATGAAGTAGCAACGAAAATGATTTTATGGTTGGGTCACAACATGAGGAACTGTATTTAAAGGGCCAGAAGGTTGAGAACCACTGGGGTAGGGGCTTCTATCTAAACCCACATATTGGGATTCTTATTAAACTTGGACAACGGAGACATAAACACAGAAGCCCAGGGCCGATTTGGAAAGTTCTGGGAGCCTGAATAGAGTTTGGTCAAGCAGAGAACTTTTCCAACTCTGATTTTTCCTTTTAAAGTCCTCCTTTCCTTTGTTGCATGGACGTCCTGTTAAAGAAAAACTGATTCTGACACTGGTTACACCGGTAAGGAAGACTTTATTCAAGACTACTGCAATAGGGAGGAAGGCGGGGTCATCTCCTACTGTAGCCCACACAATGGGAGGATGGCCCAGGGCACGGCGAGGGGTTAGTGATGGAAAAGCACAATGAAGAGAAATGGGGAGGGATCTTGTTGCTAAACTGACTAGCAGGATTCCTGCACAGTCATCATAGGAGGGGTGGGATGGGCTCTAAATGGAATAAAACTGGGCGTGGCTGGGCATACAGGTGGCAGCGTAGGGGAACCTGGCTGAATTCGGTTGTGGAGAGTCTTTGTCAGCTTCCAGAGAGGCACCTATGCCTCTTACTGAAGACAAGCCAGGTGCCCTAACAGGACCATGTACAGTGCTGTCCGCAAGAGGACACCCCAAGTGCCTGGGGTTCTGGGCAGAGGGTGTGGCCGGATACTCTGTTTCTTTCCCAGGAGCCATGGATGCTGTGGAACTTTCCAGAAAGCTGCAGGAGGAGGCAACATGCTCCATCTGCCTTGACTATTTCACCGACCCTGTGATGACCTCCTGTGGCCACAACTTCTGCCGCGAGTGCATCCGGCTGACTTGGGAGAAGGCCAAAGGCAAGAAGGGCAGGAGGAAACGCAGGGGTGTCTTCCCCTGCCCCGAGTGCCGCGAGCTGTCCCCCCAGAGGACCCTGCGGCCCAACCGCCTGCTGACCAAGGTGGCTGAGATGGCACGACAGCACCCGGGCATCCAGAGCAGGGATCTGTGCCAGGTGCACCAGGAGGTGCTCAAACTCTTTTGCGAAGATGACCAGAGCCCCATCTGCGTGGTCTGCAGGGAGTCCCAGGAACACCGGCCTCACAGAGTGGTCCCGGTGGAGGAGGCTGTGAAGGAGCACAAGGTGGGCCCAGGGGTGAAGGGCAACGGGTCAAGGAGGTCTGAGTGCATGTCTGTGTGTCCAGGGGTGTATCAGTCAGATAGGAGAACAACCACTGTAACAAAGAGCCCCAAATGCTGGACCCCACAGTGGAAGTGTCTGTAACTCCCACAATAAAGCAGGTAGGTGGCAGGGCCAGCTGAGCATCCCCTCCACAGTTATTCAGGAGCCCAGGCTGACAAAAGTAGCCTCCAAGCCACTGTGTGGGCAGGCCAGGTGACCCTTTGTAGGGGAGGAAAGGGCCTTTTTCTTCCACCCTAAATCAGACTGAGAAAAGACAAATCAAGGAGAGAACAGCGAACTGTTAACACATGTGGCCCGCACACGTCACAGGGAAGAAAGCACAGCAATGTGTGTGGCTGGCTAGGTGGTTTAGTTTAGCATCTGAACAAGGAACAGTACATTTGGAGAGAAGAGACAAAGGGAAAGGTGACAGGCTCCCAAGGGCAGCAACTGGGAAAGTATCTTGGTCCATTCCAGCTGTTGTCACAGAACACAAGACTGGGCGGCTTACAAACAGCAAGACTTCATGCTCATGGCTCTGGAGGCTGGAAGTCCAGGATCAGGGCACCAGCACAGTCGGGGCGGGGGAGGGGGGGGCTCCTTCCCAGTTCACAGACAGCCAACTTCCCACTGTCCTCACATGGAAGAGGGGGCTGGGAGCTCTCAGTCCCTTCTTCCCCACTAGCCCCATTCCCGAGGGCTCCACCTTTCTGACCTCATCACCTCCCAAAGGCCCCATCTCCTTGGGGGTTAGGACTTAACATGTGAATTTTGGGGGACATGAACATTCGGATCATAACAGAAAGTATTTTGGGGAAACCAACAAACGATAAAGTTCATCAGTGGTATCCCACGTTCCACCTCCTTCAGAGCCATAAAACTTCCCCCGGGAGGCGGACCTGTGGCAACCCTCATTCCTCAGCAGTTTCTGCTTTTAGTCACATAACAGGAGCCTCGGAAGGTGTCTTTCTGCCTCCAGCTCAAAATAATCCTCACGCCCAAGGGGCATCTCTGGGGTGCATTTCCATTCCCTTTGATGCAGCTTCAGAGGGCACCTCCTGAAGTGGGTGTGCAGGGGGCCTCCAACTCCTATCCCGCGGTCTGTTGTCTGCAGCTGAAGCTGGAGGGTGACATGGGGCACCTGCGGGAGGAAATGGCGAAGACCGAGAAGCTGCAGACCAGGGAGCAGCAGGCCTTGGCCGAGTGGCAGGCAGGTGCTGAGACCTTGAGGAACGGGCGGGAAGGCCTGGCCAGGCCCCAGGGTACTGCAGGGCTTCTAGAACCTGTGGACCCTCAAGGTGGATGACAGCACAAGACCCAGGAGAGGCACAGAATTCCCACCAGAGTCAGGACTGAGAACGTGCACTCAGCCCAGATTGGCCACTTTGAAGCAGGGACTGAGGGGTACACAGAGGCCTTGATGGCCATTTGGGCTCATGGGGTCACCCCACAGTGATGGGGGCTCTGCGTGGCCCCTCCCCCCACCAGCTGTGCTGGTTTTCTGTGGGTCACTGTGGCCATGTGATGTGTGGCCCCTCCAAGTTGGTGGGCACAGGATGGTAGTCCCCTGGCAGTGCCTCACTTCCAGGTCCCACCCTGCAGGAGAAGGTGAGGAAGCAGAGACAGCGCATTGTGACGGAGTTCAAGAAGATGGCTGCCCTCCTAGTGGAGGAGGAACAGCGCCTCCTGGAGGCCCTGCGGCAGGAGGAGCAGGACACCGCTGCCAGGCTGCAGGAGAGTATGGTCGCACTAGAGCAGCAGAGCAGCTCCCTGGAGACCCTGTTGCTGCGGCTGGAGGACTGTAGCATTCGGGAGCCACTGCAGATGCTACAGGTGAGGCTCACCTGCTCACCTGGCTGGGCGGGGTGGACACAAGTTCTGGCCCAGGTGTGGTGGACCTGCCAGGGCAAATACAGACCAACAGGGAAGGCTCTGTCTTCATCAGCTCAGGCTGTGTAACAAATACCACCGGCTGAGGGCTTAAACATTTATTTCTCAGTCTGGAGGCTGGAAGACTGGTTCTCCTGAGGCCTCTCTCCTTGGTGTGTGGATGCCATCTCCTCCCTGTGTCTGCACATGGTTGTCCACTGTGCAGCTGTCCTGATCTGCTAAGGTCACCAAGTCACATTGGATTAGGGCCCACCCTTGTGACATTTCACCTTCATTACCTTTTAAAGGCCCCATCTTCAAATATAGCCTCATCTGAGGTCCTGACGGCTGGGTTCCAACATGTTGGCTTGGGGCGGTGGTCAGCAAACTGTGACTCTTGAGCCACATGTGGCTTTTGGCCCCTTGAGTGTGGATCTTCCACAAAATACCACGTGCAGGTGTGCACGTACAGTGCGATTGAAACTTCGTGGCCCATGCGCAGAAGTCGGTATTTTGTGGAAGAGCCACACTCAAGGGGCCAAAGAGCCGCAGTTTGCTGACCAGGGCCAAGCGACACAATCAGCCTGACAGACTCCAGTCCTAGACACCTGTGTTCTGCATTCCCTTCCTAGTGAGGGCTGGGGGATGGCCCAGGGGCAGCTGTCATCCACTTGGTGACTTGGGGCAGGGACACACCAGCCAGGTCAGGCCCAGTGAATTCAAGGCAGGAGCAAGTCATGTGATCCTACTGAGGATTTGGAATTGGGGAGAAGGTGCAGCTGGACTGTCAGGGATGGGCTTGCACAGGAGGCCAGAGAAGTGGGAGTGATTATGTTGGCCGACAAGTGGGTAACTGTCTTGTGAATTGTGTGGAAAAATGGAATCCATAGCAAAAAACATATTTCGTGCTGTGAGTCATCACACACACAGCGTGTTTATACAACGGAAGCAAATGCCACATGCAAGGTCAGCACCGGTCTTGTGCCTGTTGTCCTGGCATCTTGGGACAACAGTGTCCTGGTTTAGTTAACGGACTATGCACTCGCCCCAACTTTGGGGAATACTTGGTCTTCTAGTAAAAAGCAGCCTATTCACCATCCACTAAACACTCCTGAGTTGCCCAAGGCCTGCAGTGTGGCAGCGCCTTGGGTCCCCCATGCCTTCCCCCCCAGTTGAGAGCAGGACAGCTTTTGTGGTCTTACTCACATGCAGGGGGACAGCAGGAGACCCTGGTGGCCAAGAGATAGAGATCCATTCTGAAAACTGGAAAGAGGGTCACGGGAAAGCATTATGAATTCTCCTTGCTCTGCAGGCCAGAAATGTCCACACAGGGGGCTTGGGGACGCCCCAGATCCCTAACAAGATGTAGCAGCCCTCCCTCTCTCCGTGTTTTCGCAGGACATGAAGGAGCCTCTGGACAGGTATATGACCGCCTGAGGTGCAGGCAGGGAGGGCTTCACATGGGCCCAGAGGGGTCAGTAACATCTGTTCCCTCTGGAGGAAGAACAGCTTGAGTGTGCAGTACCCAGAGGCCACCCCCCTCTCACTGAGGACTGTCTGCAGAGTCCCGGGGCAGATAGAGGTGCTCAAGAGTTTCCAAGGTAAGTGGGGCCAGTCTCTCGACCAGAGCCACCCCTGGGAGCCTTGATGTTCACTGGGAATTCACACCCTACCCTTACCCGCCACTCCCAGATGCCCAAATGGTCCCCAGCTCATCTCCTTGGCACCATCAACATCGGCAGCTGGGGTACGGCCCATGCAGAGACCCAGGCTCCCAGCTGGACTCAGCCAAGGGGAGGCCTGGGAGGGTGGTGATCAGGGAGGACAGGGATGACTCAGCCCCATCCCTGTTGCTGGGCCTGTCTGCAGAGAACGTGGTACCCGACCCTGCCACAGCGTACCCCTACCTCCTCCTGTACGAGAGCCACCAGCGGCACTACCTCAGCACGCCACCGGACGGCACACCCTGCAGCAAGGACAGGTTCCTGGCCTACCCCTGTGCAGTGGGCTGCCAGACCTTCTCCTCAGGGCGGCACTACTGGGAGGTGGGCATGAACCTCACAGGGGATGCGCTGTGGGCCCTGGGTGTGTGCAGGGACAATGTGAGCCGGACGGATAGAGTCCCGAAGTCCCCGGAAAATGGATTCTGGGTTGTACAGCTGTGCAAGGGAAAGAAGTATGTGCCCCCCGTGTCAACCGTGATCCCCATCACACTGACGGAGCCCCCCAGCCATGTGGGCGTCTTCCTGGACTTTGAGGCTGGGGAGGTGTCTTTCTACAATGCCAGCAGCGGGTCCCACCTGCACACCTACGCCGAGCCAGTCTTCCCAGGCCCCCTGAAGCCCTTCTTTTGCCTTGGGGTCCCCAAATCTGGCCAGATGGTCATCTCAACAGTGACACTGTGGGTGAAGGGATAGGCGTGTAGGCAGGGAGTGCGGGCACTCCACTTTCTCTAGAAAGTGAGGTGGTCCTGCTCAGCGGGCTGCCTGCCCAGCTTATCTCCGAGGAGCTGTGGAGAGCCCTGCTGGCCCAGGGGGCTCACCAAGCCGAAATAGAATCGTGATTAAAGCAGTTACACCACGGACTGTATTCACAGGTGCTTCATAGAGGGAACCTGTACCAATCCCTCAGTAACACTTAGGGACAGGCCACGGTGCTGTAGCTTTTTAGACATGTTGCCCTCCCCCTGCCACTCACTGGGTCCTCCTGGTTTGGGTCGCTGTAAGTAAACCTGTGGCCTGAGGGGTCCACCTTTCTTGTTATCAGCAATTCCACGTCTGGGTCTTCATAGGGAAAACAAGGAAGTACAAGTTTTCAAGCTGAACCCCTAAAAACCTCAGAGCTGCCCACCCCCATCCCTTTCCATCCCCTTTGAACCTGCGGGAAGTGGGGGGTTACGTTCAGAGAGGATCATGGGTGTGGGCGGGTCCTTTCCTCTCACTCCCCACCCACCCTCGCAGTTTCCGGCGCATTAGCCTCCCTTAACAGTCAGCACCCCAGATTACAGTCAACGCATTCTTACCTCAACACGACCAGAGTCCTTCTGGGCAGAGCGCTGCCACCCTATTCCTTCCGACCGTCCGGGGCGCACGGGGGCGGCTGGGGCTACCCTAGTCCTAGTGGTCGCTGCGCCGCGAGGACCCCAGTGACCGTGCGGGGCGCCCCGCCGGCCCGGCCCCTGAACCCCACCCTTCCCCTGGCCTGAGGCATAGCCAGGCCGCGCGACCCCCGGACGAGCCGGAGCCACGAGAACGCGCACGGACGGCAGCGGAGCCGCCGGACAGAGGGCGAACAGCCTCCC